TTTTTTTCTTCAAAAGAACCTTGCCTTTTCTGCTGTTTTCATATGTGGAATCAAGGAAACTAGACTTGGTTTAACTTTAGTTTGATCTAGACTTGCCTAGGCTTTTAGGGGAAAAAAGATTCACATAATGTTCAGGCAAAGAAAATCTGCATCTCATCTCTAGCAATATTTTGTATTCTATTGTGTATGTCAATGTTTTAATTGGTCATGTTCATGTTTTGTACCCTGGCCCCTGTGGGTGTTAATGTACAATAAATATTCTTCTTCTTTTTCTTCTTCTTCTTCTCCACAAGCAGGAAGAACAAGGGAACTATCTAACTCCCTGTATATATATGGGACACAGCACTGGTACTTTAGACAATGAGCAGCAACACCAGGCTGTGTGTTATGACCACAAGCTAGGGGTGAAACAATACATCGGTGCATTTTGAGTTTTCATGAGGCCATACGATACATGATATGTTTTTTTCTGTATCGATACAAGACGATACACTTGTTGAAATTAATTATTTACTACTCGTTTAATGATCCCTGACGCATTTGTCAGTCAGGTATTGCAAAATGTGTTGCAATTAGCGTTTCATGTCCGCTACTAAAAATAGCCGCTACAAACATGTGTCTACAGCAATGTTTTCTTTTGAACTTGCTCTGAAATATTTATTGTCAAGAAGTTTCCATGCAATTTGATGTAAATGTGCGTATCGCGATATGTTTTGTATCGTGACGTATGTATTGTGATACGTATCATATCGTGACCTTGCTGTATGGTTCCCCCGCCCCCCCACCACAAGCAGGAACCACAAGGGAACTGTTCCAGCTCCCTACAGAAGACATAGTACTGGTAAGGTCGACAATGAGCAGCAACACCACGCTGTCTTATCTCCACAAGAATCACTTTTTGTCAGTCTTGACACATTCACACGAACACCACCCTCCTCCTACACTTATCATCAAAGACTGACAAGTACACAGACCTTGCAAAAATCTAGATAAAGAACATGTTATTTTCCATCCAACATTATGACATGCAATCTCAATTACCCTGTGTTTGTTTGGCTAAAATAACTTTGGCTTGTGGCCAAAGCAGAAAAAGTCTCAGTGTTAAACATATATTTATCTCTTTTGCGTGGATTTTATATTTTTGAACAGCTAAGTAATATTTGAGTAGGCGCTTATACATGGAGGACACCCATGCTATTTGTCTTACAGTCAGCGTAGTTAAATTATTAATGAATCTACCTCCCAGGCATGTACACTGTTGTTTAATGCGATGTTGACTTAGATGGGCGCCCTCCGCAAAGCCAATAAACATTGCCTATAAATCAAAAGACTCCTAATTGTTATTGCTGATATTTTTATCTGTTTTATTGGTAACAACTATGAATCTTTCAAGTAGAAACATGAGTTTTTATAAATATGTATACAGCGATAATTCGAGGGTGGGGCTTTCTGCTTTCAGCCCCTTAATTTGAAAAAAAGGCCCACATTTTCAAATACAAGAGGGTATTTTAACATTGTGCTGTATGGGCAAGTGTGGGTGTACCTCTGGAATACATGACATTTTCACATAAAGGGCCCATGTCAGAAAATTCCTAGAGTGAACCCTGTGTATATACACCTTAATTCCACTAGCCGTGCTCAGGTCTCAGGCAGAAACTGAGTATAACACTCCGGTGATTACAAGTGAAACTCGGTCCCAATAATGACACTATCAAATTGATGAAGGTATTGTATTTGTTGTTTTGGGTGAAATTACACTATTTAAAAGTCAAAAGCACGGCTAGAACTTAAAAGGTTTCTGTCTGAGTATTTACGGTAGTTGCTGCTCATCTGGACATCCTAATTACACCACATTCTTGTGTGTGTTCCCACTAAATTGTCATTAAAGTCCTTTGTGGGATGTGGCAAAAGTTCTAATCTGCAAAATTACTGGCAATTTTTGTCAATAGAATTTCAAAGGAAAGGCTCAATGACAAAAGTAAATGTCAACTACTGAACAAATAACAACAGCTAGCAGCAAATATTTCTCGATGGAGCTGTCGATAGTATTTCAGAGCACCAAGCACATTCAATGACAGAGACATCCTGTTAAGAGCTACTGAGCTGCCTGGTACAGTCAGAGCTGCCTGTTACACTCAGAACTTGATGTGTCTCTTGTTTCCATGAGATTGGGACAGCTAGATACTATTTCAGTCATGGTATAGCAATGATACTTCTGGTGTCCTCACCCAGAGGCTAGTGTTGCACCATGAGTCCGACTGGGGCTCACAGGACATGTAGCCAGCATGCAACCAACAAAGGAAGTTTGTCTTACTTTTTTCCTTAAAGTAAACAAGATATAGTCTTACAGACAGCTTGGATATCACTACTTAATGGCAAGTCATGCCCGATCACTCACATATGGAATTTCATTGAAAAAAACCATGACTGTGCTTTCTCAATGTACGAAACAAATGGAAGGAATTATTTACAACTGACATAGATTAGCCCCCAAATAACCTGACGGCCTATTCATGAAGCTGTCTTAGCTAAGACACTTCTTGATTACTTACAACTACGGTTACAAAATGCAATAAGAGCTATTCCTGTATCTGTCTTAAACCTATTGCAATATTATCTTACTTTAGACAGTGCTAATCCCAGCTTAGACAGTGAACTCTTTTGTGACAGAGGTGAAATAAGCCGGGGTTTCCCAATGCAGGAAGACTAAATGTAGACAATGTAGACTTAAATTCATGTATGCATTCATAAATTTAAATATATTCATATAATTTTCAAAAACATACAATTAAACCGCAACAGAAGATAAATGTTGATGTTATACCGGTGTGAATTCTTTTTTGCCAGAGGGTGGTTTTATATATTTTACTGTAACATGATCAATGAGAATAATATCATAAAGCTGTTTTCTTTTATAGATGAAACTAGCAGGCATAAGAATATATAAGGAAAAAGAAAATGTTGCAAATATATAAGTAACCGATTCAGCTCAGGGAGTGTTAGATTTGTCAGCACCACTCGTGGGTTTCACCGAAGTGGTAAACTTCTGAGACCTGCATCACTTCGGGCTTTCCTCCCACATTAAGCTGACACGCCGTGATATAACTGGAATACTGTTAAAAGCGGCGTTAAACCCAACTCACTCACTCACTCACTCACTCAGGGAGTGTTGCATAAACCATGTCGTAATTGTGGGGCGTTGTGATGTATTTACAGGTCGCACACTTTGCTATGTTCTTTTCAATCAGTTTACAATATTATTTCCGACTGCATCTTGTGATAACTATGCTATGAGACAAGTGAAAATCACCAGGACAAGTGAAAAGAAGGACATGCACTAACCAAGTGGTTAAGTATTTGTAGAGATACTAACAGAGTAAGTTTTTTTGTGCACATCTAAAAAATTAAATGGTAAAACAAATCCTGAAGAAAGATCAAGACTTGAAAATCACAGATGCCTATTTCATCCTTGAAACTCACATCACAAAAGTTAACATAGTACTTTGTAAATATCCTGTTTGTATGTATGTTTCTTTCATATATGTTCAGGATTTCCTTATGATATCCTATAACCTTAATAATCTCCTGTAAGGTGTCACTGTGTAGGACCTCACATCTAGCAAAAGGAAACTAATATGAACCACGACAAGGAATAAGTGTATTCTATCACACACTTTGAACAAACATCCTTGACGATATAATGATAGTGAATAAAAAAATTAACAATATGCAATCTCATTAAAATTGATGCTCATGACATCAATCAATGGATTGTCTGGTCAAGATTCGATTATTTTCAGACCGCTGTCATATAGCTGGAATATTGCTGAGTGCGGCGTAAAACAACCAACCATCGTAAAAATCAAATCTTTTACTCCAATATGATGCCTCTCTTGTGTCAAGATCTCAGGATAGCTGTATGGTAACACGAAAGTTACTCAAGCAGGAGTAGTAGACGTGAATTGTTAACATTTTACTACAATCTGAACAGCTATGTAAGGTTGGTTAGCAATCTACAGAAACACTATGGTTTCTGTCTGCAAATGACGTTAAGTATTTTACACAACACTGAGAGAATAAACTTGAAACGTTGCTTTCATCATTCGTAATGGAATATTCAGTCATGGATTAAATACTTATCAAACAGAATGCCATCCAACTATACGTAAATGACAAAGTGCTCACTCAAATAAACGCAATATTTCATTTGTTGTAGTCAAAGGGAAACCACTCCCACTCTCTACATAAATTAAATGCCCATGACAAGAAAAGGTCATGGTCATAGCGATAACATGCAAACATGCTGCTAGTCTTGCAACTGAAATACATGAAAAAAACAAAAAACAATTGTTATGCTATCATCTGTTATCGACTTTCTGTTGGTCAGAAGTCATAATTGCTAAGTGTGATGTTTGCGGCATATTTTCCAGGATCTGTTGTCTGTGTTTTGCAGAAACCACTTGGTCTTGTAGTCAGAAATGATACAGTAGACCTATAGAACCGAATCGATTTCTTCAACATGCAATCTATTGTCTGCAATCTTACCTGTCATAAGTTCAGATACAAATCTGACCCTGTCGTAGTTTTTGTCGTAAACTTAAGATGACTTAGTGCTAAGAGGGCTTCAAGACTTAGCTGAGATTTCTTTTGGCTACAACAATCCAAGCGCTGTGTATGTATGTGGTAGTGAGTGGGAGGGGGTTTGTGAGTGAGTGAGTGAGTGAGATGCATGATTCTACATCAGCAAAGTCTACAAATACTACGTAATACTGCACCAGTCATATCAGAGTGTATGAATACTACTCATACTGCACCAATCATATCAGAGTGTGTGAATACTACTCATACTGCACAAGCACTTTTTCAGCTGTTTTGACACATCAGAACCTAAAGGAAATATCCCATGAAAATCAGGACAAAATGTGTGCACTGATGTAGCTAATTCAAGTGATGAAATCAGCAAACATTTGGAGTAGCTGAACCACAAACTTTCATATTACCTGATCATTGGCAAATGATAATGGCCTCCGGGCGATATCCATGTTATCCAGCTGTAATTTGGTGACTGCTCGCTCTGGAAACAAAGAAAAAACTTTTAAGTACAGAAAACTGAAAACACATCAATCACAGCTGACATTTAACAGCACGTACATATGCTGTAATCCATCTTTTGGATATGGATTATGGATATAATTCCCTGAAAAATGTGTACAGTTTAGAAAGGGCACCTCATTGTTTTCCTAAGTAAATGTCAATACGTTGCCATAGACAGACACATTCATGTTCATGTGTGCACTACTTGTTACACTTAGTAGCTTTGTGACTACATTAGGTAGGCCATACAACTGAATACATGCATATTACACAGCAGGATTTTCACACCTACATCAATGCACACTTGCAGGCATCCAGTGCACGGGGGATTGTGCTGTCAAACAAAGCTGTTGGAACATTTATTTTCTATGTTAGAGTCCATTCGACAAAATATTCATAGAACAGATTTAGCTTTTGGTCTACTGGCAGGTGTTTACTGCAATCTAGTTGCCGACAGCAGTCAATTATGTAAGAGAAGCCACATATTTGTTATCTGAGCCTCTAAAAATATGACAATGTCACATTATCACATTTCTCTATCAACTGTGAAGAAGTTAAGGTTGGTTGGCTGGTTCATGTTTCACGCCGCTCTCAGCAATATTCCAACTATATGGCGGTGGTCTGTGAATAATCCAGTCTGAACCAGACAATCCAGTAATTGATGTCATGAGCATCGATCCACACATTTGGGATACGATGACATGCATCAACCAAGTCAGCGAGCCTGATCACCCGATCCCGTAAGTCGCCTCTTACAACAAGCATAGTCGCCTTTTACGGCAAGCATGCAAGAAGTTAAGAATAATGAGTCATCCCAACTGAATAGCATATGGGCAGTAAGTTTAGCAAATAAGACATAATGATAACTAACAATAGAACTGCATAGCCTGGAAGGCCAGGAGCAATATAAACAATATTGGATTCAGTTTATAATCAACACAAAAGACCCAAGGAAAATCATGGCAATAGTTTCCAAATATAACTTCATAATGAGATCCCAATCTGCATTCTATGGTAGAGCCTTGTCCAATATATCAATGAATAATGACAGTCCAGCATCACATCAAGGTTCGAGGTTGAGTTTGGTGGTCAAGGCTAAACTGCTTTATTTGCCAAGACGCAAATTGTACATCATCAATATGGATGATGTCGAAGTGTTACAAAATTGGTTTCTATTCCCACAAAGTCCCAGCTCTGACATAACTGATACTGATGAGCATCCTGTTAGTACATCAACCTGAACCAATGTCCAATAAGCTAAAGACACGATCCCCAGCATCCCAAATACATAACTTGTGATACCTGACATATTTACTGAATATGTTTGTCCTGACCCTGGAACAAGCTTGCCCTCCCATGCTGCAATATAGGAGACCGCTGCTCCCCAAGTTAATGACCACTGCTCAGATAGAAATCCCAGCGGGATCTTCCATCAAAGGTAAGCCAAGTTGAAATCATCTCATAACCTCTAGTAATTGGGAAACAAACAGCCTCAGCACATTGCCTACAGAAGCTTACTATCTAATATTAATCAATACATTTTCAATCACACAAAATAATGAAAACAAATTTTAGTCCTCCCTGGGGATGAGGTGTTCAAGAAGCTCCATTATACAAGCTGCCATGAGAACGAAAAGTCTGGGATTGCATGATACATGACATACAGGAAATATGGCTGGTTTTGTGAATCAGGAAGTTCAAGTTTCAAGTAGCTTCTAATTATCTCCTCCAGATAGGAAATTAAATATGAAGCAAATGTCAAGTAACAAAATATCTTACATCCTTATATTTCAATCCCTTTCTGGCATAGGACGACGGGCATCTCTATTTTTATTGCAAGCACTCACTTAGTGGTTACTGTAACTTATTTGTGCATCAAATAGATTTGTAACTGCAAATACTTTGTCGCATACATACTTATCATAAATAACATAAACAGACACAGGAATTGTGCCTCTGTGCCATGAGAAGGTAGTGTATATAGGAGTTGCTGGTGATAACAGGCATGACAATGTACAGAGGATGAGAGAGGAACAGCATCAAGTGGCAGAATTCATAGACAACAATATGCTCCATTGGACAAATGTGTAACAGATGTGAGCGTCAGGTCTCTGCAACAATAGCCTAGGTACACAAAGAATATTGAACTTTGATGAGGCATATTGGTTCCACTCACACTTTATAACAACCTTATTAAAACCTAACATCAACTGACATGATAGTTTGCTTGTTGAATAGACACTATAAACCTTCCTAAATAGCTTGGTTGGCATAAATCATAATAGGGGGAACAAGTTTTTGATATCACCCATTCTAAATTCTCTCTGTTTGAATCGTATGTGAAAGGGGGGTCTGAGGTTTTGATGGCGATCATTCTAAAGTGCCATTGTTTGATTGGTATGTGAGAGAAGGAATGTGAGGTTTTGCAATCCCCTGTTCAGTTGGCATGTAAGCGAGGGAGGTCTGAGGTTTGGGTGGCACCCATTCTAAATTGTCTGATTGGTCTGTGAAAGAAGGCATCTGAGGTTTTGCTGACACCCATTCTAGATAGCCAGTTTGATAGGTCTGTGAGAGAAGGAGTGTGAGGTTTTGCAGGCAACCATAAGGGCATTTCTAAATCCCCTGTTCAGTTGGCATGTAAGCGAGGGAGGTCTGTGATTTTGCTGACATCCATTCTAAATCGCCAGTTTGATTGGTCTGTGAGAGAAGGCATCTGAGGTTTTGCTGACACCCATTCTAAATCCCCACCGTTTGATTGGTCTGTGAGAGAAGGCATCTGAGGTTTTGCTGACACCCATTCTAAATCCCCACCGTTTGATTGGTCTGTGAGAGAAGGCATCTGATGTTTTGCTGACACCCATTCTAAATCCCCACCGTTTGATTGGTCTGTGAGAGAAGGCACCTGAGGTTTTGCTGACACCCATTCTAAATCCCCACCGTTTGATTGGTCTGTGAGAGAAGGCACCTGAGGTTTTGCTGACACCCATTCTAAATCCCCACCGTTTGATTGGTCTGTGAGAGAAGGCACCTGAGGTTTTGCTGACACCATTCTAAATCCCTAATGTTTGATTGGTCTGTGAGACAGCAGTGTCGAGATTTTGCAGGCACCCATTTCCAAATTCCCTCTTTGATTAGTCTGTGAGGGAGGGGCCAAATTTAATTTGCACCCGGTAGGATGAGGTAACAATAAGCACATTGCAATAGAGAAAGACAACTTATCATAAATAAAATACAATGAACAATTAAAACATTATTGTCTGGTTTGTCTGTAAGGACATGGCCTGAAGCAGTATTGTCTGGCACGCTCCACTATATCCACATTACAAACACATTCTTGTTAATGTGTATCAGATCAACCTCTCATGTACACTGACCCGTCACAGAAACTGCTACAGCCATCAACAGCATTGAACCATTAGTTTACATTTACACCAGTATGAATGATGGCATGCACGACTTCACCTGGCACATGCGAAACTGTATTAAAAGACATAGCTCAGTAACACAGGCAAACATCCCAAGGTTGAACTATGACCTTCCAGCTTGTCGAACATCACACATGAGTGAGCATACAAAGGCTTAACGACATGGCCACTGAAGGCTGAGGTGTGAAGCAGTGGGGGAGGGACTATCGCACCCATTTCACAAGTTCCCAAGACATTTTCATCTATGATGAATTGTCTGTCAAAATGAACTGAACATGCAAAGAAGCAAAGCGTAGAAACTGTCAAAAGCAATAGTACTCTCCCTGCAAGAATTTGGGGTTTTGTTCTAATCTAGCTGCTACGATTGATAGGGATAACATTATTGTCGTTTTATACTCAAAACCAGTCATCACCGGGTCTCAGAAGTGATCTGTCAAGCTTTACATTAAGTTATGGAAAACTTTAAAGAGAGTAAACATCATAAGCTGAGACAAGTGTGAAATTTGCAGCGATGAATCCATACTATACAAAACTCAGTAAGCTTTAGTAATCTGAATCTGGCTTGACACTGCCAGCTTTTGTGATTGCTTCTGCTTGCAACATCACCATCTCTGTCATTTGAAGACTAGCTTACTGTTACAAAAATGATAACAATGGCAAATATTCTCTGTGACATCATCACACTCACTGACCATGGTCAATGTCCATGAATACAATATCAGAACGGGCTTTGAAGTAACATATTAAAATACAAATTTAAAACTATATTTTTTATTTGAAGAAGAAGATTTATTGTACATATACACCCTCAGGGGGCAGGGTACAAAACATGAACATGACTAATTAAAAACATTGACATACACAATAGAATACAAATATTGCTATGATTATATTGCTAGAGAGGAGATGCAGATTTTCTTTGCCTGAACATTTTGTGAATAAAATTGGAGATAATTTTTGCAAACGGCTCTGGTGGATTTAATAGTATTATTGATGGATTAAAAACATTGCATAAAATATAACAAAAAAATACAGTTAATTCTTTGAAGTAATACTTAACCAAATGAATAGCATAACTGCAGGCTATTGCTAACATGTAACTAAATTATTCAACCCAGACGGAACATATTCAGACGCACAACTATATTCTCATATTTGTTGCAACCTACCTAAGCTAATATGTTACTAAATCTAAAAAATGCAGAGTTGTTAACTGTTCCACTGTTACAGAGCTCCTTGTCCCCCAAGAAGGTAACCTGGTCAGTCCCCCTCCGTCCCCTGCATAACACTGAGTGTCAACAAGGCTCCCCCTGGGCACTGCTTAATAATATTAATCCTTGTATATTATCCTCCTCATAATGGTACAGACAACTTAACTTCCATCATAAACCGACTCTAGACATCCATCATGGCTGAAGTTTATCCACATAAAACATGTTTCTCCATGACCTAAGTGACAAGATAGAAGTATTGTAGCAACCATAACGCTGTAAGAAACGCCATTGAATTCCTAGAGAGTGACAAAACACTCATACATTCAAAGTCACACTGGTTA